AGGGGCTACTCCATGCGAAAGACCTTGAGCATTTGGTGTGCCGCGCCGACTCGCTACAATATAATATCACGTAAGAAATATGTAAGGCGCCACCTACTGTAAGAACGTAGTATTTTTTCAACATCAATAAACTATTTTATGGAAATACACACAGCGTACAACGATAAATGTATCTCAAATTTTTTATTCGGTATATTAGTTGCATTATATTAGAGTTATGTATTCTCATATAATATTATCTAATTATGAAATTTTATAATTAATTATATATTAAAAATGAAGCATTGAAAATTGTGAGTTTAAAAGATACCTACTCACTATAGGTAAATAGATAGATAGCACGCCTTTTGTACAAATATTTGGTGCAATAAAGAATAAATAAATAAATAGGATGTTTCGCAGAGTGAGAGTAATATAGAATGAGAGTCGTGGAGGCAGTTTATAAACATAAATTGCACAAGGACAAACATCCAGACCCGGAACAATTATTTGTAGGCCATACAAATACTTGTTCCGTGCGGGATTCGAACCCGCGGCCCCCAGTGCAGCAACTGATTGCTAAGCCAGTGCGCCACGGAGCCGTCGCCGGTTTATAGCTAAAGTGACCATACGTCCCGTTTTGAACGGGACTGTCCCTTTTCTCAGTCACCTGTCCCATTGTCCCCAAACAAAGCTCCGGGACACAAAATTGTCCCGTAACTCGTTGGATGGAAGTATTCAAAGTCAACAATCTTCAACATAATTTTTTTTAATCGAATATATTTTATGTCTCCCTGGTACAAATGCTCCAGTAGAAAGAATATTTTTTTTATTTTGAACAAATTGTGGACATCTGAAAGAAACACTTACGGTTCCAGTTCTAAAGGCGATGTTGATAACAAAGGTAACAATAAAAAAACTTAAGCAGAATTTTATTCTTATTTAAAATTATCACCAACTTTATTAAAGCAAATTTAATCCACTGACAAATGTAATTAATAATTAAAAAAAAATATGTTGCATTTAATAATTACCGTCTATACCGAATATAATTTTATATTGAACACTAATTGTGTAAAGTTATAGTTTTTAGAGTGTAAATAAACCCATGTCCTGTTTTGAGTTAAAAAATAAATGGTCACTTTAGTTTTTTTTAGTTAAATTTAGTTTAAAAAAATTTTAGTTTATAGTAAAAAGTAGGTATATTAATACCTACTTAGATACTTTTTACCGAATTAGGGTAGAAGCCCCTAATACCAGTCATGCCCCTAATTGCAGTCTTTTCGCCTTTTTACTCCATAAATAAGATCTCTAGTAGTCTTAACTACAAATATTTTCATCTAAAAAATTCTTTGTACCTAGAGGAAACTATATTTATTCAAATATTACCTCGCAGTTTTAAACCTAACAGTGTTAAAATCAAAACAGGTACGCAACGAAAAACGATCATTTTCCTAATTATTTGACAAGTTATGATCCCGGTAAAATTATGCTTACTTTACATTATCTCATATATAGGCTTTTGATTTGTATGAATATGACTATAGACATAGTAATGCAGTTATTTTTGTTTGAATTTACAACTTATTTATTTTCTTTTAGTGGAAATTAATGGGACTGTAATTAGATAATATAAGAAATGTATGGAGTGCATAATGTCAGCCGCCCGGCTGTTATTTGGTTTGACGTACCTAATAAGATGTACCTAATTTCAGCCACGTAATATAAATCAGAGCTGCCATAAACTGGAATAAATACCATTAATTAGATCATAACTTATTTTATAGCTAAGGGAGTTATGATCAATTCGTCTGTTTTAAAATTGGTTTTAAATTTTAAAGTTTAGCAAAAGATGTACTAGCTTTTCTCTCTGACATTTGGCGTATAGAACATCTTATGTACTCAATTATTTTTTTTTTTGAAAAAGAAGAAAAAACTAGCAATAAATAAAAACAAAAACGGGCCAAAAACTCATACTGACTTTTTGACAAGACCCGGGATTCGAAACCGAGACCTCATGATCAGCACTCGCACTACTACAACCACTAGACCAACGAGGCTGTACTATACCTAATAAGATATTGTGGTTGGGTGATAATATTGAATTAGCCTTTTATAGTGTAAATTATAATATTTGTCGAAATTTTAATTATGGATTCGAACCTTACATGCTAATGGTGCTTCATTTTTTTATTTGCATTTACTTCAAAGAAAATACACGCAAAAAGCTTCATCGCGCAGTAAAAAACACAACAAATATATGTATAACTAATACGAAAAATTATACCCAAAACAAACAAATAATACTACCTATAAATAACCTAATAAGTAATATTATTATCGACTAATATGACGTGGGTGTATGTGCTGGTCGACGCTCTAACGACACGGGCTTCGCGTCGAAGAGCTCAGGGCTCACTGACTTCAACAAGCCCGTGAGCAGTGAATATGCCCAGATTTTAAAATAAATTCTTAATAAAATCAAATTTTGGTCTTTTGAAAAAAAATTTACTATAGAAATGTTCATTAATAAATTGCCTATCCATTGGTGTAAATCGCAAAATAAAATAATACTTACTTTACGAGGAGATGCATGTTATCAATAATAATTTCACATTTATGTGATTTCGTTGTAAGGAGATTATATTAATATTTATTCGTTTAAAAAAAATTGGATATAGCTTTTATGGAATCAAGATTATGTAGAAATATAATGTGTTTTTTATTTGTTGATATATCTTTTAAATAAAAAGTAGATAGCTCCTAAAAATAGCACAAATAACGACTAGCGCGACATTTTGCTCAACCTGCGCCTTAAGAAATGAATTAGTGTTTAGTGTATAAATCAATGAAAAACTAAAATATTTTGCAAATTCGGTCCAGTTTTCTAGATACACCAACTGCATAAATAACTTTGTAATCTTATATAAATATATAGGATTACAAAGTTACATTTGCAGTGAATGAATCAGTGTACCTTTATAAGTATAATAATAATGGAATAATAGATGCAGATAGGTACCTAGATATAACTATGTTCAAAGGTAACTTGTAAAATGGTAAAAGGAATAAAAAGGCAAGAATGGGACATATCTTATGAAGTTGTACCAAAATCCCGCCAAGAATTAAGTAGACTAAATTGCCCGAAAATCCGTAGTTGGTATTCAAGAAGTAGATGGTACCAGAAAGGAAAAAAGTAGGACTATCTACAAAAAGAAATGAGATGCCATCAAAAACATAACTTGTAAAAAAAACCAAGTCTCGCAACTCAGTTCTTCTACCGTAAAAAGTTGTGGGATCCATGTAATACCAAGTTGGTTAATTTATTCAGTTCCTACTTAAGGGTCCTTCTGACTCAAGTTATTACGTAATTAGCTAATCTAACAACATCTTATAGTAAGCGTATCAATATTAAAAATCTTTTATGTTTTAAATACATAGATTGACTTGGTAATCGCACTAAACAATCTAATTTAATATAATATGTATTACTTGTGAGATACATTGTGTTTTTATTATCTTAAGTCTTCCCTAATAGTAGTAGGTAACTATTATTTGCGACCTCTGTGTGTGTGTGTGTGTGTGTGTGTGTGTGTGTGTGTGTGTGTGTGTGTGTGTGTGTGTGTGTGTGTGTGTGTGTGTGTGCGTGTGTGTGTGTGTGTGTGTGTGTGCGTGTGTGTGCGCGCGTGTGTGTGTGTGTCCTAAGCCACCAGCATCTATTGACTTCCTACATATCTTTCCATGTCGTCCCTCCATGTAGTTGGAGTCTGCCCTGCACTTCGCTTACCGGTACGAGGTTGCCACTCGAGAGAGTTGGTCTATGTCCGTTACTCTGGTTCTATTGCGGATATCCTCATTTCTAAATTTATCGTGCGGAGAGACCCCTTTCTAATTAAATTTTTTATATTTTTCAGATGATGGATTGTCCAACATTTAAAGAAAACATAAACACAAGAATGTCTTTATATAGCGCTTATGGAAGCACCACTTTTATATAAATTATATAAAAATGCATTTTTCAATTTGACCAATCAACGTCGCCGCGAAAATTTCTTCTTCTTTGGGCACTTTAAAAATTAATTTATTTAGAAAATAATATTTACAGTGTACAGATATTAACTAAATTAAGTATTTCTATTCATAAAAATATTTATAATTGAGTATTTTAAAAAAACTAAAATATATTTGAAAGATCGCTCCAACACTGACGCTTTGGTCGACCCTCGAAAACGGACTGCGACAGAGTTCGCGGGGGTTTACAGTGCGACGGAACAGGCACGTTCGCGCGAATATATTCAATTTCGGGGACAAATTATATTTTCTCGAGTAAAAAGGGGAATAAAAATCAATCTCAATTAAAAACATTATTAATTTTAAGACCTTTTTTTTTAGTGTAAAAACTATTTAGGAGAAATTTTGCAAAATATGATAAAGATAGATACTCTTTGGGGATTTTTTTTCTAATAATGGGTTAACAAAAATACAATTTTGTTCGATTAAAAATGGTTATTAAATCCTCTTCTATCATCATGTATTTATTTGTGGATTAAATGAAGTTATTGTCATTTTTAGGGTTCCGTACCTCAAAAGGAAAAAACGGAACCATTATAGGATCACTTTGTTGCCGTCTGTCTGTCTGTCAAGACCGTTTTTCTCAGGAACGTGTGGAGGTATCAAGCTGAAATTCATATGAAATACTCAAGTCTACTGTTCCTTAGAGCTGTGAAAAAATCAAACTTCTAAGCCAACGCAATCAAAAGATACAGCCGTTTATGCCGTAAATTTTCGACATTCGCAAGGGAATCAAAACCTACAGGGTACTTCCCGTGAACTCAGAATCTTGAAATTTGGTACGAAGCAACGTATTATAACACAGATAAAGGAAAAATTGCGAAAAGCATAAATTTTTAGTTACATCTTATAATAAAAATATTTTTAATAATATTAAACTTATATACCTACGGATTTGTTCGGAACCCTCGGTGCGCGAGTCCGACTCGCACTTCGCCGGTTTTTTTTTTACTTAAATATCCAAGAATTTAGGCATTTCGTCCGCTCTTGGGCCTTAATGCATATCTTGTTACAAAACTAATAGTTAGCACTTATCAAAATATTGGCAGCATTTCTATCCGCAGAGTCGTTATGTGACATTGCAGGTACGTTATACAGACACGACATTTTATATTTATTTTCTTTTTATATTAAATATTGTTTGATTCTACTGTGAGTTCACAGTTGAACATAGGCCTTTTCAAAGACTGTCACAAGTACGAGAGCCACGCTTAAGCATTTAATTCCTGCTGTCATTGTCAATATAGTGATAAGGAATAATAGTCATAGTCATTTATTCCATATAACAATATTATATTGTATTGGAAATTTATTACATGGATAAAGACATTTACATGCAATTATTTTAATTAAAATTAGAATCGATAAAAATTTAAACATCATTTAACTAATTAATTAAATACTTTTCATGTCATAATACACTACAAATTACATTAAAAATTATACAATACATAAACAATAAAAATTAACATTGATTAAGTTTATCTTTGTCATTTAAGTAATCGTCAACTGAGTAGTAGCTTTTTTTAATTAATAAAGATTTTAATTTATTTTGAAATTTGTGGTGGCAATAAATAGTTTTAAATGAGGTAGGCAAAGAATTAAATAGTCCAATGGCTTGATATCTTGTGCTGTGGCGTACAACATTCAATGTTGGTGTGATAGAAATTTTTAAATCTTTACGGCGGGTCATATCTCTCTTTTTCCTTTCTTCGTATGTTTCGTATTTGTGAAAGTTCTTTACTAAATGAGTAAGTGAAACTAAGATATACAGAGAGGGGACCGTTAATATGCCAAGATTTCGGAAATGTTCCTTACACGATTCAATTTGTGGAATACGTAACATGGTACGGATCGCCCTTTTTTGTAGTACAAACGCTGCCTTAATATTATACTTATAACTATTGCCCCAGAATATTATGCTATAACGTAGTTTAGATTCTACCAGAGCAAAATAAACCATTTTTAGCTGTTCTAACGTAACTTCTTCTCGTAAACTTCTTAAGGCATAGCATGCTGAACTGATAGTGGATTCTAGTGCTTTAATTTCCTTTTTCCAATTTAAATACATGTCTATGTGGATTCCTAGAAATTTGACAGATTCAACAGAGTCAATACTTATAATAATATTTTAAAAGGTTCAGGACGAACGCACATTAAACACTTTTTTTACGCGGGCTACGGTATACAAGGACAGGGTGTAGCCATTAGTCAGCATTAGTCGTTCACTTATGGGCGGTGTTATGAGAAAACGAGTGTGCGTTCAAGGCTGTTTGAAGCCGCGTACGTTACCAGTTACGGTCGATACGATAAAACAAAACATCTAAATAGGTGATGGATATTTAATATTTATACGATATTGAAAGTTATCATACATTTTGAAGATGTCAAGTAAAACTATCAGTTAAATAAGTTAAAAGGTAAACCGCTAGGACATAGTTTTTCTTTATTAAATGTATGGAAGTATGGAACTGTTAAAATTTACTTTATTTTCCACCACTCTGTTACCACACTCCCGTGTCGTGGACGCAGTTTACATACATAAATTGTATAAGGACAAATATCCAGACACGGAACAATTATTTACAGGCCATACAGATACTTTTTCCTTGTGACATTTGAGCTCGCGGCCGACAGCGCCGTAACTCAATGTCAGATGCGTTGTTGTTACTGAGGTCTAAGACGGAAGGCTTGTTAAAGCTTGGCGTGCTCAGCAGAGCGGGACAGTATTTCATGCCGGCACACCGGAAAACACATGGAATACTGTTCCCATCTCTGGGATGGGGCTCCCCAGTGCCAGTTCCTTCCATTTTTGATCGCATCGGCGACCGAATTCTTTCCGATCGGCTTGACTCACTGGCACTGCGGGGAGACGTTGCATCTCTTTGCGTATTTTACCGCATCTACCACGGGGAGTGCTCTGAGGGATTGTGTGGACTAATTCCAGCCGCACAATTTCACCATCACACATCGCGACAAAACCCACAATACCATCCATACCATCTAAATGATTGGTGGTCCACCACCGCGCAATTTACAAGAGGTTTTCTTCCTCGCACAACTTCCTTGTGGAATTTACTACCACCGGCGATTTTTCCGGACCGATACGACTTAGGGACCTTCAAGAAAAGAGCCTACTCCTTTTTAAAAAGGCAGCAACGTATTTGCATATCCCCTGGTGTTGCAGTTGTTCATGGGTAGTAGCGGTAGCCACTTACTATCAGGTAAACCGCATGCTCGTATGTCCTATCCTATAAAAAAAGTAAAAGAGTCTGCGCTCCTTTACTTTAATGTTGCAACTGTAGGAGTGTGGTAGTACTCCGTTTGAGTCGAACTATTCGTCCCGTAGCCATAATAAAATCATACCATAATATCATAGCCGCAGCGTGATTATATCCTTAAATATGTTAAGTTGTTCAAACACGGTTACAGATAATTCAGTAACAAAAACTATATGGAAACTTGTATTGACTTTGTAGAACGTGGCTTCGTTGCGTGTCGACCTTTAAAACTGCGTCATTGGGGCTTGGCCAGGTTCTAAGCTTAGTCGTGTTTAGTATGGCATATCCGCATTGTCCACTACTTAACTAATTTTGATGATATAGTTGTTCAGTTAGGATTTTGATATATTTTACATTAAGCAGTATCAAGCACCTGGTAATCATTAATATACATAAAAGAAAAAAGTAATTAAAATAACTTGTTAAAATAGCCGTTTGGAGGTGAGACAAATCTTGTAAATTTAGTGACACAAAAATTTTACAAAAAAAACCTATTTTGCTGTAAAATTTCTGTGTCAACAAACACTTTTTTAATTTATTAACCATTAAGCTTGTTGCTTAATGGTTAATAAAATAAAAAAAAACCCGATTGCGTTAAAAAGTTTGCATATGCAGATGCGATATATAAATAATACATACACCTCATATGTTAAATCCATCAAGCCGTTTAGGCTACACAGCGTTGCCAAAGAAAAATAGGAATACATACATGCTCTTCAAAAACATTAGCCTCCTGAGACAGTCGAGTAAAAAAGGACATATATAATAGGTCACATCATAGATCAGGTCACTTATAGTAGGTACTATTTTATACTATATCAAATTGGATTGACTTTTAGTAATATTAATAAATTTTCTTTATGATATAAGACTTGCAAATTGCAATGTTTTAATACTCGCAGAAAAATAGAAAAACAGCTGAAAAGTGCTCGCGACGTAAAGGCCAATGTGCCAATTGACCGATGATATTTAATAATGATTAAGGCTCAGACCTGTTTTGCAGATAAACATGAGTCATTTTGATTATTAAAATTATCAATACTTGATAAATAAATCCAGATATTTGTATTCAAACAAAATAAAAACGGGAGTATAATAGCTTGTCTGCTGTATCTGCCGAGTCCGTCTGGGTAGGTACTTCATACATATTTCTGCCGACAAATAGCAGTGTTTGCACTGCTGAGTTATATTCTGAAGGATTTAGAGAGCTAGTATATATACAGGCTGTGAGGCATTCCATGTTAGTCTTCAAAGGTGGCAACGCATGTTTAGCGTACAGATTGAAGTTGGCTGCAGGTGTGCTATGAACTGCACTAAGTATCCACTCACCATCAGGTGGTCTGTTTGTTTGTCACTTCAGTTTTATAAAAAAAAAGACATAGTTATAAAAACTATCCTAAAATATTTAAAGTGAAAATTTAATCAACTAAACAACAACAAACCAAATGTTAATCTCGTCAGGTGCTCCAGATATTTTTTACAAGCGATTATACAATTAATCTTATTTTTTCAAGATTCGATGCTCATTAATTAAGATGAAGAAGCTTATAAGTGATCTTAGAATAAAATTTGATTTAAAAGGCCAAACTTAGGCAAATTTCATATTTAAAACTTTAATTAAGTACCTACTTGCATTTAAGTCGCATGTGAATTTAAAAATATTTTTTTTCGCTTAAAATAGTTGTTTTTTTTTAATATTTTTACGTATAATAAAATATTCTTATAGGCGATAAAATAACAATATTCCTTAAACAGTTCATCACATCCGGTACTTTAATTTGGATAAATATGTTTATATTGCCATGTAAAAATTGTTTTGTCTCTTTGTGCCATTAGATTATAATACACCTAACACGAAACTTAATTTATACAACAGTAGTAATCAATTGTTTCTTTATAAAAGATCTATTTACTTATATAAATCATATCTATTTTTTTTTACTTAAGTTTTTTTTATAGGACAGGGTGACAAACGAGCACACAGTCCACCTGATAGTAAGTGGTTGCTGTGAGTGTGACCCATAGACATTTACATTTATCCTCAATAAAGAATCAAAATGCAGATGCGTCGTCACCCGTGAGGACTAAGATGGAATGCCTCTTTTCCAGTAAAATGGGTCTTCGGTTCTCTACACTCACCATACGAAACACAGCAGTGTCAAGCTGCCATTTTACGCTGGTATTCTGTGAGAGCGTGGTCCTTCCCCGGTCGAGCCGACCCATTCGTGCTACAACTATACTACTAATATAGTTACAGCATGGCTTTACCACGTACAAAAAATTTATATATTTTTATAAAGAAACAATTTATTATGTTATCACTTAGTAATCCGCATTTTAGGTATAACCCTAACAACTAATGCAGCGAAAAGACAGATTGACGATAATTCGTTGCAATTGTCTTTATTGAGGCTCGTTTACGATTTAAGAAAATTAAATTGCACAGTTGCAATTGGTTGTAGGGATTACATGTCGAAAATAACAACAGGTAACTACGTTTACTAACCTTCACCAACTCGCGTGTATCGTTGTAAGCAGTCCGCAATCTGAAAACAAAAATAGTTTTGTTGATTAAAGGACAACAAGATTGATGTACTATTATGGCTTCGAATGTGTCGTGTGTACCTATAAAGATTTAATTAATAATATACACACTTTTAGTTAATAGCGTTAAAATATATACATATCTAAGCGTATATCACCACTAAGAATAATTTAGCAGCATATCAAAACGAATTTCAATTATTTATACGTCTTCTGCAACATGCAGAATAAATGAAATGAAAGATCACGGAAAGAAATTAAATATTTTTAATTCTTTGGCGTAAGAAAATAAATTTCGTTTGTCATATTTTTTATTTTTAAACCTTCTAAATCTACTACCTTTTCGAATAAAAAGGTCATACATTTCAATACAGTGGACACTTTAAGTACCACTTTAACGAATGTTCGGTGATTTAGCCGAATATTCGGTAAAGATGCCGAATATGCCGAATACCGAATATGAAAGGAATATTCGGCCCATCTATAATATAAAAATGAAAAAATTAATCGCCGAATGTGTTGCTAAGCGCAAATCTCGAGAGCAGCTGAACCGATTTCGCTAATACTTTTTTTATAATATTCCTTGAAGTACGAAGATGGTTCTTACGGCGAGAAAAATTTAAAAAATTGCCTGAAAAAGTTTAAAAACAACACTTTTCTATATTCCCATACAAAAGATTCGTAATAATACTTAAAAGTCAATTTGAACTTTAATACCATACCATAAAGTTTAAGTGTTAGACTTAGAGGGGTTCCGGGAAGGCAAAACAATTGAGTGACGTTAGTATCGTATAAATATTAATGTCAATATTTGTCAATATTTGTCAATATTTATACGATGGTAACATTACTCAAAAACAAAATTAGGGTTCACACCTAGAAAAAAGTTTGATATCCATGAAATCGTAGTAAATTCCACGCGGGCAAAGTCGCGGGGTACAGCTAGTCTCTAATAAATATCAGTAGCGGTCCCCAATATCTGTGCTCACTCTTGTTTTACGATTACGGTTATTTGCATATCGAATAACCCGTGTGATAGTAAATTTAACAACATATTATGCCCTTAACACAAGAATTCAGCTAGTTTTTTTTTATGCAATAAAAATTGCCGGCTATAGGAAGTTAGATAGTATTGTTTTATACAAATAGTATGTGTGTATGAGTCATTTCATACAAATAAGGTGTGTTCTAATAAGTTGTATTAAGCTTTCCTCATTAATTCAATTGCGTGAAACATGGTCATTATTTTTAACCACAGCTACAAATAATAACTTTCGTCATCAGTTTCCTGGGTAGTTTACACATAATCGAAGAATTAAAATAAGCATTATTTTATTGCTTTTAGTTTTTTCAAATTAGTTTAAAAGTTTATTGATTAATATTAATGGAGTTTGATGTGTGTTGTTTATTTGTTATTAATGGAGAGCAGAAAGTTTTTAATGCAAAACTAGGCACAAGAGAGAACGGTGAGCTGAAAGTAGGGAAATTTGGAATAGGGCAACGGAACCCAAGGGGCCAGCAGCTGGCCGACTTCATGGAGAAAGAGGGACTCTTTATGATGAACTCTTTCTTCCAGAAGCGGCCCCACAGGAAGTGGACCTGGTCGAGCCCCGACGGTTCCACAAAAAATGAGATTGACTTCATTATGACGACCAGACGACAACTGTTCAGTGATGTCTCCGTGATCGCGAGGGTGAAAACTGGTAGCGATCACCGAATGGTTAGAGGCACACTGAACCTAAACGTTAAGTTGGAGAGGTCTCGTCTAATGAAGTCAACGCTCCGTCCCCCTCGTGCTCTGTTCCAAAGTCCCGAAACCTTTCAGCTCGAGTTACAAAACCGTTTTCAGTGCCTGGAAGACTGCAATGAAGTGGACGATATGAATGACAAGCTCGTGGAAACTGTCCATGCGGTCGGAGCTAAGTTCTGCAAGACCCGCCGCAGAAGAACACAAAAACTCTCCGATCACACTCTTAATCTCATGGCTGTTAGACGGGAGATGAAGCTATTTAGCTAACATTCTTCAACAGACTTGACAGCATACAGGCATCTGAACAGACAGATCTCCAAATGCATGCGGCGGGACTTACGCAACTTCAATACAGCTCGTATTGAAGAAGCGATCGAGCGGAACCAAGGCTCCAAAGTCTTTGCCAGAGATCTGTCTGCCAGAAAGAGCCAACTGTCAAAGCTGAAGACAGAATGTGGCAGCATCGTTTCCGGGACACCTGAGATTTTGAGTGAGATTGAGAGGTTCTATGGGCAGCTGTACACATCATCGTTGGAGCCACACGCAAGTGTGAGTAACGATCCAAGAGCGAGTCTCATCCGACACTATTCCGAAGATATCCCAGATGTCAGTCTGAGCGAGATTAGGATGGCTCTCCAGCACCTTAAAAACGGTAAGGCCCCATGCGAGGATGGAATTACAGCGGAGCTTCTGAAAGCGGGTGGAAGACCGGTACTTGAAGTCCTTCAGAAGCTCTTTAATTCTGTCCTCCATGGTGGCATTACACCGGAGGCGTGGAGCAGAAGTGCGGTGGTCTTGTTCTTCAAGAAAGGTGACAACGCTCTCTTGAAGAACTACAGACCGATTTCCCTTCTGAGCCGCGTCTACGTGCTGTTTTCGAGAGTCATTACGAATCGTCTCGCGCGCAGACTTGACGACTTCCAGCCTCCCGAACAAACCGGTTTCCGAAAGGGCTTTAGCACCATAGACCACATACATACCCTTCGGCAAGTTGTACAGAAGTCCGAAGAGTACAATTTGCCACTATGTCTGGCGTATGTGGACTATGAGAAAGCCTTTGATTCCGTCGAAATTTGGGCGGTGCTGCAGTCCCTTCAGCGGTGCCAAGTTGACTGTCGGTATATCGAAGTGTTGAAGTGCTTGTACAGTAGGGCTACGATGGCTATCCGAGTACAGAACCAGAATACGAAACCTATCCAATTGCAGAGAGGTGTAAGACAGGGTGACGTCATATCCCCGAAACTCTTCACCGCTGCATTGGAAGACGTTTTCAAGCTTCTGGACTGGAAAGGATACGGTATCAACATCAATGGCGAGTACATCACTCACCTTCGATTTGCCGACGATATAGTCCTTATGGCAGAATCGCTGGAGGACCTAAGCACTATGCTCAATGACCTCAATAGTGTTTCCCAACGGATAGGTCTTAAGATGAACATGGACAAAACAAAGATCATGTTTAATGTCCATGTCACACCTATGCCGGTAGTTGTTGGGAGCACTAAGCTCGAAGTTGTTGACGAGTATGTTTACCTGGGACAAATAGTCCGACTAGGTAAGTCCAACTTCGACCGAGAGGTCAATCGACGGATTCAACTCGGCTGGGCAGCGTTCGGGAAGCTACGACACATCTTCTCGTCAGACATACCTCAAAACCTTAAAACGAAATTGTACAACCAGTGCGTGTTGCCAGTGATGACTTACGGAACTGAGACGTGGTCCTTCACTGCTGGCCGTATGAGGAAGCTCAAGGTCGCTCAGCGAGCTATGGAGAGGGCTATGCTCGGAGTTTCTCTGCGTGATAAACTTAGGAATGAGGATATCCGCAGTAGAACCAGAGTGACCGACATAGCCCAACGGATTAGTAAGCTGAAGTGGCAGTGGGCCGGCCATATAGCTCGAAGAACCGACAACCGATGGGGAAGAAAGGTTGTCGAGTGGCAGCCTCGTACCGGTAGGCGAAGTGTAGGGCGTCCCCCCACGAGATGGAGTGACGACCTGGTAAGACATGCAGGAAGTCGATGGATGCAGGTGGCTCAGGACCGTGCTTTGTGGCATTCTTTGGGGGAGGCCTATGTTCAGCAGTGGACTTGTGAAGGGCTGTAATGATGATGATGATGATGAGAAAGTTTTTGTGTAATTTCTGATTATTAAGCGAAAAATATCCCTTACTCATAATATCGTCTATCGTCACCCGTAAGAACGTTAATTAATTTTATTTTGCTAATAATGCTGTTCTATATTAAACTATATAGAATGTGATACACTACTTGAATTTTAAATGTGTAAATCATATTGTGATTGTTGAATTCATTTATAAGCCGAGCGTGGCAACATTACCAAATAAATATACCCTAGCAATATATTTACCTGTATTGCTACAAGTAAATACATTGACCATCCATCAAATAGTTTAGATAAAATTTGTATCAAATTATTCTCATCTTCACTATCATCAGCATCAACGTTATTTTAATCATCATCATACATTTTCGTTAATGAATTGAGCGGCCAAAGATAATCCATATACCTATTCAATTCCTTAAATTTTGGTCTTAGATACTCTTAAGTCAGTCGTTGTTTCAGTCGCATGTCCATTTAGCTATCTATGGGGAGGCCTATGGGGAAGGCCTATGTTCAACACTGGACTTTGGTGGGCTATATAATCTATTCATTGAACAAATGAAATTCCTCTTAAACGGGAACACTATTGAATTGATAAAACAAAATATATTGTGTAAATATAAGCTAAATTGATTTAGCCTTCCAGAAGTTTTTTACTAACATGTTCACCGACGATTGTTAATGTAATAGCCTTTTTCCCGCGGCGGTGAACTTCGTATTACCAACATTATTATTATTGGCGTCCCATGCCAAAATTCGGGATCGCCTCGTTATCTGTCAGTGTGCCCCATCCTAAACGATCTTCTTAGGACTTTACGATCACTCCGTATTTTTTTTCGTTCGTTCTCCGTATCGTTTTTTTTTGTGTAAAAATAATATTTATTGATTACTTAACCACGCATCATGAAATGTGCAAATGGTGAAAACAAATAATTCTAATAATTATATAGTAAATAATACTAAAAGTTACATCCTATATACGGTCCCACTGCTGGGTACAGGCCTCCTCTCATTACTGAGAGGATTTCAGGGCAAGAAAATGTCCGTGCTGTCCCAACGCGTGTTGGCGAACTTCACATATTTTCGAAATATTTTTTTTTCTTATTTCTCAGACATACAGGCTTCCTC